TTCCGCGATGTCTTCTGTGTAACCGAGTGGGTCATCGCGCGATCAACTGTCCTACTAACTTTACGAGTCCTACGGTCGTAAAATGTTTCAAGTATGGTCAGGCTGGGCACAAAGCAGACGCTTGTCGTAACGAAGTGAGTCAAACTCACCAAGTATCCTGTGTGCTAGCAGCACCGAAATCCGATGGTGATGCCGTCACCAACGAATTTGTAGAGTTGAAAAATGGGGAGAAACTTCCTATTGTGGGTGCTCTAATGACAAAACAGCCGACCAGTGTTACGAAGGGAATGCCAACGCTGCCTGGAAAAGTTGCGGGCAAGAAGGTTACGGTGTTAAGAGATACCGGCAGCTCCACTGTTATCGTGCGGAGAAATTCGGTACGGGAAAGTGAGTTAAAAGGCAAAACGAAACCAGTTTGCGTATTTGACAGTATGGTTCGGATGCTTCCCGAAGCAGAGATTGAGGTTGAAACCCCGTACTTCAGCTGAAGGTTACCGCTCTATGTATGACGACCCCCCTGTACGACCTCGTCATCGGAAACATCGATGGGGCGCGAGGGCCGAATGATCCAGAACGATTGGGAGAAGACCCTAAGATAGAGCCCCCGCCGACACAGGGGCCACGAGATACAGCGGAGAAAAATCCCGTGAAGGATTTCACTCGAGCCCAAGGTGAAGCCTGGGCGCAAGAGACAGCGATTGAGAACATGATCGTGTTGAATGAGTTCACGTGCCGGGCAGCTGGACTTACGTCGGCGCGACCTCAAACGAACCACAGTGTATAGGTGACGGAGTCAGCCAGCCAGGCCCAATGTCGTGACATGAACAAGCGGGTGACAGGATCGGTTGAATGTTATGACCCGTTAACGGTGTCGAAAGTGACAACGATGGCTGAGGCGCCGCCTCAGATACCGTCGTTGGAAGGGGCTCGCCGGAACAAAACGAGGAAAAACAATAAGAAGAGATCGAGAGAGCACCGCAAGAAAGGGCGCAAGCGCCGCTCAAAATGCAAAGGATAGGTGTCGAAGTCGATTCGGAATGTGTTTGACAGTGCTAAATGTTAAGTTAATGCGGTTGTTATCCTGTGTCACAACTGTATGTCGAGTGAGTCAAAATGTTTGTTACGGTGATGTGATTGTACAATTGTTGTAATGAGAGAACTTTGTACATTTGTATTGTCTGGAATATGTGATGGAGTGTTGTACTCATGTACTTGTGGTTATATTTCATGTGTTGTGAGATTGAATTACAATGTACAATTGTATTGAGTGATCTATTGTGAATGTGACGTGTCATGAGCGACGGACTATGTTACACTCTTTGAGAGTGTGGGGACTATTCGCGCTTGTTTGTGTGGTTTTGAATATTATGAGGTAATATTCTTCAAGTGGGAGGCAGTGTCACAAAACGAGCGCTCAAAAAGGGCGTGCCACCGAATTCTCGCGACGAAACACCGGAGTGACGCCCCGAGGTTAACAATAAAAAAAGGAAGAAAACAAGCATCCAAAGACTCCCCGGGCGCGCGCCCCTCTCCCCTCGGAAGCATGGGTTCGCCGACGAACCTCCTCTCATCGGCGCCCGAGCAAGCCCTGGAACGTTCTAGATGGAAAGGGGCGTGGTGATGCAGGGTTGCGTCATCCGTCGCCGACAACCCTCGTACCGTCTCGCCCTTTCCCGAGCCTTCGCTGCGTATCGCGCCGACGAAATGATGAGTACTTTCCGGAATCTCGCGCGGAAGGTATTTAATCGAGCAGACGAGATGGGAGATCAGGAGAACGAAGCTTGCGCCAGAGTGCGTTGGGTATCCCGCCGCGTCTGTCGGTGAAGGTTTTGTCCTTAGTGACAAAGCAGGAGAAGAAGAAAGTATGCGCCAGAGTGCGTAGGGTGTTCCGCTTTGTGGGCGAAGCCTTTTGTCTTCCGTGACAAAGGAGAAGAAGAAGAGTATTTCCACCTGAGGGGTGACGACTCCAGCTACAGGCAAGAGTGTGTGTCTACCGCTATCGAGCGAAGACGCGTGGCAACAGCTGCGAGTGTGAAGCCGACGTGTTTCCGGCGAAGAAGTTTGAAGCTTGGAGAGTGGCCAATTGAAGACGCGAGGTTTTCTGGAAGAGAAACTTCGGGGGCAGCGGAACGACAACAACGCTGGACTTTGAGTGAGTGATTCTCGGAAGAGTATCATTCAGACTTTTTTTCCAAGAACTTTGGACTGAATAAGTCTTCAAACTCTTTAGTCTTTAAGTGTCTTGGTTGTTCAATGCATGCGACTGCATTGTAGTGCGTATTGTTGTCTGTGTCCGTTGTTTCGAGTGTGGCTGATTGTACTCTGTAGTACATTGTTTGGTTGGTGACATATCGTAGTCAGCCTTTGTCGACTGTGCATACTTATGTATCGTTTTGATCTGCCATTATTGAGAATATAATTTTGTTTTGTTTATCAACTCTCGGCTCTGACTTGTTCTTTGGGCCACAGCCGGCGTCCGCTGGCGCGCCAAATAGGACCACTTCTAAATTGTCCACGCTTTCGTGGTGCGGTTCGGGGGGCCGATACTTCGGCCCTTGGAATTATCCCGGCGATCGCCTCCCGAATTAACGGGACCAGTGACAGACCCCAACATGAAAATCATGACATGCGTGTCTTGTAGCAACATGTCTACATGCCACACTCATGATGCGCTCGCGGCCGTTTCGCTAGCTTTACATATGCCAAATTTGGTATTACGTGACGTCAATGGATGGCGAAGGTATGTGACAGGTGAAAACGTGATAATCATGAGATGCGTGCCATGTGAGAACATGACTACATGCCACAGTCAGGGCGCAAATACATTTCGACGTGACACGGTGCGCGTGCTCACCGGCGTTCATTTCGTGGGCTCACGCCGGCGTTGCCACGCTAAGCACTGGTCCTGCCATATACACGCAGGCGCATGCCGCGCTGCGTTGCTTTGACGCATGTGCATTTCAGCGCGTCCAGCGTCCCTCCGTCACGAAAAGAGGGAGACGCAGTGTTGTCTGGGTAACGCATCGGCGCGAAATGCTGCATGTCGCAGTTGCCGTCGGGCCGCGCCGATGAACGTTGGTCGCACCAGTCGCACCTGGCGTCAGACTATAGAGTGCGCGTGTTTTGCTAACGTAGCGTCGCTGTGCCCAGCGTGCGCGCGCGTCAATTCTACACTGGAGTATATTGGGCTCTTCATGGTGCGCTCGCGGCCATTTTGCTATCTCCACATATACCAAATTTTGTGTTACGTGACGTCAATTGGTGATGAAAGTATATGACTGGTGCAAACATTATAATCCTTACACACGTGTCATGTAAGAGCTGGACAACATACCCCGGTCATAGAGTGCTCGCGGTCGTTTCGTTATCTCCACATATTCTTTTCAGCAGCCTTCTTACCGAAAACAGCCGCCGATTGGAACCACCTTCCCTCTTCCGTTGTATCAATAACAGACCCTTTGTTATTCAAGACTGCAATTTCTCAGCAATGCTTGTAACTATACGCAGTTTCCATTATCTATCTTTGTCTTGTATGTGCTTGAATTCTTATACATTTTTAGTTGATTTATGTTGCCTTCCTGATTTGCGCATCTGATACTTGTTTCTTTATTTTGTCTTTTTTTCTTGTGTGTTATATATGTTGTACCCACCCCCTCTGTAATGCCCTACGGGCCCTGAGGGTATTCTAATAAATAAATAAATAAATAAATAAATATACTAAATTTGGTATCACATTACGTGAATAGATGACGAAGGTAAACGACACATCTAAACATGATAATCATGAAACGGAAGTCATGTACGGCATCATTTACCTCCACCTCATAACGTTGCGCTGATTTTAAAGTGATATATCAACATTTCTCATTCGTGCTTCGCATATCATCGATTGCCCCCGTACGTGAAATCTGCCATTTTTTTTTTCAATAAAAACAACTCTTCTTTTATGATAATGTAGTTATAATGAGACAAATGTAACAAAAAAGTTAATTTCGAGATACAGAGAGTGAAAGAGAAAAACAGGTTTATTTTATGCAATTTTTGTCATAAAGGTGTACTAAACAATTAAATTAGTAGCCACCTCTTATATAGTCATCCAACAAGTCATCTCCTTCCTCCTTTCATTTTATTTTCTTGGTTTCCTATCTTGTTCTTTCATATTTAGAAGGGTATTTTTATACTTGGAATATTACTCTTGTTTCCTGTGCGTTTTGTCTCTCTGTTGGCCAAATACTTACGCTAGTGGAGAATCTCACACAACTATATCGCAGTGTTGCGCTCTGGTGTTATGCAAAACGGCCTCAAAAACATTTACTTGGGTCATGCAGACCTATTTTTTATTTAAAACTCTTTCAAATGTAGCGATTATGGGCCTTTTCATTCCAAGGAACACAGTACGTTGCGTTTTGTACAAGTATCACTGTTCCTGCGCACTTTGTGCAGACATGAAAGCATACTTATTGTCGCTGTCTCCGCGAATCACATTGCGTTCTTTCGGTGATGCGGAATTAGGACTAAGCTTACCTGTTGAAGTGTTCACACTGATGTTCCTGGTTTTGTTTCTGTTAGTAGCCAATACGCACCTACCTCCAATTCACGGCGCTTTTTAAACAGTTTTCTTGATAGGTAAACACGAGAATATCTTTTGCCACCGATACAAAATCAATCAAGGGGCATATAAACTCAAAATGCCCAGAAACATGTCTCCACGCTAGTTCTACACACGCAAGGCAAGTGGACTCGGTAAATGACAGAAGTGTTAAAAAAAGTTGCACCATACTTTTTCAAAAGTTGCTGAGCTCAGAGCAGCTATCGATTCAGATTTCCAACAAAAAAATCACTTGAGGCAAAAGCTTGCGCATTGTTTTAGGAAAGTGGGCTTGGCTGATCGTCACTTCATCTCGAAAAACTGGTCTTTTTCGCTCAGTGAAAACGCACCAAAATTCGTGCGACAATGAATATTGTTAAGAGAAGCATTAACATTGCAAACAAGCTAAAAATAGAAAATTTCAATTTTTTATTTATTTTACCCACCGTGTGTCATTCCGCCGCTAAGCCATCGTAACATTGAGCTTACTGTTGCTTAGCGTATAGAAGTGCGGCAATATGGTGAGTTGCGTCAGTTAGATATAAATGATATTGCACTTTCAAGTGCGCAAAGCAGTTTTAATTTAACGTTGATGGGTCGATGTTTACTTGCGGCCGTTGTCGTGTGGTGCCTTCTACCACCATACGAATGTGTTGATGGAACGGGGCGTGATTGTCTTCTTGTAGGTTGTACCACTGGAAGCGTCCTTCAGCTGCATGTCGCGCTCACTGCCGGTGCTGGAATGGAAAAGTCAAGTGAGGTAAGCTGGCTGTGCATGGAAGAATGGGGCGGGGCACCCTATTGGGCACTGTACCAAAAGCACAAAACACGATCACAGTTGTTGATAATCGCTGAGGTTTCGAATGACCCAACCACTATATGTCTACGAGGCATGATGTGATTACTCGTGATCATTTTCAATCACCTGTGCTTTTTTTAACGTGCACCTAAATCTAAGCACACGGGTATTTGTAGTTGCATTTCGCCAACATCGGAACGAGTCTGTCAAGAACAGAAACAAAACTCGTCTCCTAGAGCTCTGTAGTGCGCAACCTCGCGTGCTCAGCCACCATGGCCATGTGAGCTTGTGAGCCACCACAGCTTGTGAGCTTACACATCTGGTGGCGACATGCAGCAAAAAACAACGGTGCACTGGTATATTTTTAAACTATGACTAGAGTTAGCTGGGGTATTCTGTATAATAATAAGAAAGCAGATTAGGCAGATTTGCACTAGTGCAGCCAAGCCTGAAGAATGGGTGGAGCTGCGCAGCCTTGTTTACTGCTCTCCAGATTTCTGCTTTTTTCCTTCTCTGTTCTTACTTTCTCTCCTTTTCTGTTTTTTTCTGTCTTTCTTCCTCTGTTTAGTTCTATTTATTCCTTCTCATAATCTGTTTCTTTTTCCTCTTGCTCTATTTTGCTTCCTATGTCCCCTTTCACCTTTTCTATTTCGTGTTTCTTTCCTCTTTTTTTACAGGTAGTTTTTCTGTGTTAGCCAAGCGTCACTGGTACCTCTTTGTAATGCTGATAAGTGATTGTCGTCAAGGTGCTATTAGAACAAGTTGAATAAAACTTTTCTTTGGCGAGAGCACGCGCTCAACATGACACACATGAGCGTTACGCCAGGCGACGAGGAAAGCATACGACAGCCTGTACCCCTAAAGCATTCCGCTCTTAAAACAGCGCCAACAGGATGGCAATGTCGTGTTGATTGAACTGTTCCACGGTATACTTTTCATTCGGATTAACTAGCCATAACCGATTTTATGAAGCTTAACACAGCACATGTCACACCGAGCCCTCCTCTTTTAAAGGTGTATAGTTGTCGTCACTATATTGTGTGAGCTTCACTGACCATCAAGAATCTGCAAAATATTTCTAATAATGTAGATGCAAACCATACATCATGCAGATTAATAATCACATAACAATGCTTCATACATTCTGCAGCATCAAAAGAAAAAAAATACGGCAGCATATCGACGGGTTGAGTGATGGAGAGTGGGGCGAGGCATCCGTCCGCCCATTCGTTCTTCCTTCCGTCCATCCGTGCGTCCATCTGTGTGACCATCTGTGCGTCCATCCGCCCGTCAGTGCGTGCGTCTCTTCGTGCGTCCGCACGTCCATTCGTGCATCCGTCCCTGCGTTCGTCCATGCGTCCATCCATCCGTGCAGCCATCCGTGCGTTCGTTCATGCATCTGTCTGTGTGTCCGTTCGTCCATCTAGTCAACACTCCAAGTACCACCACCTCGCATCTTTTCATCATATATTCCGCATATAGAAGCACCGCTATCCAGCGGATATTCCAAGGACTAAACGAGAGATGGCAAACGCACACTTTCTTACGGCTTGCGCTTCGTGTCTACTTCCCACCTTTAACCACCTCGAGTTCATAGTATATACTAGTTCACTGTATTCATGGCACTGCGGCCCAATGCTCGCTAAACCTTTCTAAAACCAAAGGGGTTACGCCCAGCCAGTATAACCTAGCCAAGAACAAGAGCCTAGAACAAGAACCTAGAACAAGAACCTACAAGAAGGGGAAGACGAAGTGAAGAATCACTTCGCGTGAGTTTCCTATCGCTGCTGTTTTTTCGCCAATTTTGTAAGTTTTCTTACTCATCTTCTGCATCTTACTGCCAAGATTCGGCCACCCCCTTCGCAGTGCGCCAGGCGCCACGTCTCCAAGGCGCCAAAGCCTTATGTTAGGGTGCCACGACGTCCGAAAGCTTCGGCTACCAGTGGCGACCATTCTTCTCGGCGCCCATCAGATGAAGACGAAGCGATGACTGCGTCCGAACAGCAGAATAATCCCGTGTTTCGCGGACCCGAGGAGGACTGTGACGGCCCCTCGACGACACCTAACGCCGACGACGAGTGTGTTACTCCAAAGAAGGCGCGAACTGATAATCAAGAGGATTACAGCGATGCAACAATCATTGACTGCGTGGAAATGAACTGTGATGTAGAAGCAGAAGACAGGCCTTTCACAACAGTCACGTACAAGAAAGCCCGACCAGTGGGGATACCCGTAATTTTCAAGCTGACAGACCTTAGCGCCTCGTTCTGGAAAGTCAGCGTGCTGCTAAAGAGAAAGTGGAGTCGTTCCGTGTCAACAGAGATGGCAACTTCTCCGTAAGTGTCTCTACAGTTACTGCATCCTCCAGACTTCTTGAGTTAACACATGTTGCTGGTCTTGAAGTGGCACCGTATGTACCGCAGTCGTACGTTAGGAACCTAGGAAAGATTAGACAAGTACCATTGCAATACAGTGAAGATTTGAATATTTAAGAGACAGCGGTGTAATCTCAGTCAGGAGACAGACTAAATAGCTCCGTCGTGAAGATGGTTCAGCAGAGCCACATTTACTCGGCAGTGTAATTCTTGAGTTCTCCCCCGACAAGCCACTGCCACCTTGTATTCTCCTAGGCTTCACAAGTCATCCAGTGGAAGAGTACCTACAGCCCGCTACACGATGTTACAACTGTCAACGATATGGACATGTTGCCAAATCGTGCCATGGACAACTTCGCTGCAAAATCTGCGCAGGAGCACATGATTACAAAGAATGTACATCGAGAAATCATCCCAAATGTGCCAACTGCAATGGAGACCACGTAGCGTCATATGCTAGTTGTCCGAAACACCAGGCAGCTACTCGACTAAAGCGATAAGAAATTTTGCTTCGAAGAGCTCCAAAAAAGGGATCCCCTTGTCCGAATCCTGAAACTGTGCATCCACTCCCTGTGATTTCAAAATCACAAAAGAGTGCATCACCACTGTCGTATGCGACGGTAGCCAAGCGTGCTTCAGCTCAGAAAAACAAAAGTACATCCAAAACGAACCGTAGAGGACGATCACCAAGCGTTCAAAGACAGACAAGCGACAGCAGGACACCGAAACCGTCAGCCACTCAGGATAACCAAGCGTCTACATCTATCACCTCGACAAAGCCAAAGGCACAACAGCAACGTGCACCGAAAACAAGTGATGTGGATATAGTTATGTCGATGCTCTTACTTGCTTTGAAGGCAATCCTGCGTGTATTTCCACAGGCCAATGACCTACCAAAGGTGAGCGCAGTCTTTTCATTAGAGCCTCTAGCAGTACAACAAAAAATTGTATAGCAAAATGGCTCAACAAATGACCATCTGTTTCCGCAACACAGCTGTGTTACAGTGGAATGCCAATGTCCTTAGGTCCAAAAGTGCAGACTTTAGGAAGCTGGTTGCTCAGTATAGCTTCCCCGTTCTGTGTCTAAATGAAACCAACGTTGGCCCTGACTTTAGGATTTCTTACTATGTCACATATGCATCAAGAAGAAATCCAGGCTTAAGCAGGGCACTGTTATACGTACGGCGCGACATACCCTGTTTTGTTTTATACTCGTCGGACTCGGACGTGCCAGAATTTGTAGGGTGCAAAATTCAATTCCAGAAACTTACCATCACCGTAATTTGTGTTTATTTTCAACCATCGACATGCATCTCCGAATCATCTTTTGTTCATTTATTGGGTAAAGCCCAGGGACCTTCCCTCATCTGTGGAGATTTCAATGCGCACAATACCACGTGAGGCAGTACTCATACCGATTCATGTGGGAGAACACTCGAAAAAGCAATTGATCGATGTGGTCTTGTTGTACTGAATGATGGATCAGTAACGTTTTTGAGAGGTAATAATTATGCCAGCTGTCTAGATTTGGCTACAGCCTCTCCTGACATTGCACGAGATATGAACTGGTGTACAGACCTCGAAACACGAGGGAGTGATCATAACCCAGTTCCTATGCAACACCCAAGCATGCAAGTGCAAACGACCACATTGATTTCAAAGCTAACTGACTGGAAACTATTTCGTGAACATACTGGACGTGACTTGATGGGAGTCAATGAATTGGATACATTTATGTCCTGCATTAAAAGCAGTTACTCCCGTGCGACAAGGTTTACAGCTGTCCCAGCAGGCCACTCCAGTGTAGATGCAGACTATGAGCGCCTACGAGCTATTAGAAGGCGAGCAGAACGTCGCTATCGCCGCACTGGGAGGCTTGAAGATTATAAGAAGAGTCGGGCCACACACATCCAATCTGACCGACACATGCAAAAGTTAGGTCGGAAAAAATGGCATAATTTCTGCAAATCATTGACCCCATTTACTCCACTTCCAAAAATATGGTAAACAATCACTGCTCTAAGTCATCCATTATCCCAGCGAAACCCATTCAGAGCATTGGCCATATCTCTTGGATTATCCGAACGTGATGTTTCTAATAAGTATTGCACAATGCTGACTGGAACTTGGCAATTGGTTCACAATACTACTGCACTGCCTAGTTCTGTAGAGCAGCAAATCCAAGATGCATGCACTTTATCACATGCTCAACTGGATAACACGTATTCTCTACTAGAGCTGCGTACTGCTCTATCACTAACCCGCGTAAGAACGGCAACTGGTCCCGACAACGTATCGTACAGTATTCTGAAAAATCTAGGACCCAATGGCATGCCATTTCTTCTACGGATATATAACGACATGTGGACGAAGGCGTAGGCTCCAATGTGTTGGAAGGTCGCGAGAATCGTCCCACTACTGAAGCCCGGTAAATCACCGCTTTCGCTTGACTCATTCCGACCAGTCAGGCTCACTAGCTGTGTATCTAAAGTAATGAAAAAAAATGGTTGACAGAAGATTACAGTGGTGGATTGAAGCTAACAACTCACTTCCAGAACAGATGGCTGGCTTCAGACGACGGCGATGCACCATGGACTGCGTCCTCGACCTCGTTACATTCGTAGAACATGAGATGAGTTGTGGAAACATGTCTGTTGCGGCGTTCATAGATATTAAGAAGGCGTTCAACTCTGTCAGCCACCTTTCTGTGCTGCACGGGCTTACCTCAACAGGGGTTCACGGTCGTATTTTTCAATGGATCGCCAACTTCCTATGTAACAGACAGTTATACATTTCAATAAATCACGGAGACAGCGATCACTTGAACATGAGCAAAGGTGTACCCCAAGGAAGCGTTCTAAGTCCGCTTGTTTTCAATGCTGCAATGGCAGGTCTTCCAGAACTACTGCCCGAAGCCTTTAACATATCCATGTATGCAGATTACATATGCATATAAACGTCTCACAAATCACTGGAAGTGATCGAGCATCGGCTTCAACAAGGACTAGACACAATAAGTGATTAGCTCAAAGAGCGAGGCATGCAGATTTCTCACGCCAAATCTGTAGTTCTGCCATTCACGAGAAAAAGAGTGAAAAACTTGAAGCTTCTTGTGGATGGCCTGAGAATCGAAATCGCACAAAAGCATCGCTTCCTTGGCGTTACCTTAGATAGCCAACTCAGATGGAGTCAGCATATTGATGATCTAGAGAATCAAGTGAACAGCACCATAAATGTTATACGTCGCATTGCGGCAACGAAATGGGGCGGTACATCAGCGTCTCTCCTCCACGTCTATTGTGCACTAATCCAACAGAAGATTGCCTACTCTGCGCCAGTTCTCCACAACATCTCTCAGACGTCGCTACTCCAACTTCAGCTGTTACAAGCAGGAAGCTTACGCATATGTCTGGTGGTTCCACAGGCAACATCAAGTTCTTTGACACTGGCAGAGGCAAGAGAACCCAACTTTATAGTAATTAGAAATGTGGAGACATGTCGGCACCTCTTTCGTCTAGTCACGCAACACCCTTCCCATCCACTCATATCCAACCTCGTGAACCGTGCTGGAGCACTAATACACCATGTGTACCAACAGTACATTTCCCGGCTTCTTGTGTCGACACATTGGCCACTGGACCAAAACTACCCTCCATGGCTGCTTGAGCTACCAACTATTGAAACGTCAATAGAAGGATTTCGCAGCAAACATGAAGTGCCAACCGTTGCCGCTCAGCAGTTGGCATCACATCATCTGTTTGACAGGTACCAAGGATACACTCACGTGTACACTGACGGCTCCGTCACCAAAGAGACGGCGACATCAGCATTCATAATTCCGGAATTGCACGAAGAATATGCATGTCGGTTGGACCACCTCTCTTTGTCAATAACGTTGGAGCTCGTAGCGATTTTGCTAGCAATAAGCTTTCTTAAACTGTCAACGACACCAAGAAAATGGATGGTAATTACAGACTCCCTGGCAGCGCTAGCATGTGTGGAAAGTGCCACTTCAAGACACATTGATGTGCGTATAGTATCATCATAATCATCATCATCATCATCATCATCATCATCAGCAGCAGCAGCAGCAGCAGCAGCAGCAGCAGCCTGACTACGTCCACTGCAGGACAAAGGCCTCTCCCATGTTCTGTCAGTTAACCCAATCCTGTGCTTGCTGCTGCCAATTTATACCCGCAAACTTCTTAATCTCATCTGCCCACCTAACCTTCTGTCTCCCCCTAACCCACTTGCCTTTTCTGGGAATCCAGTTAGTTACCCTTAACGACCAGCGGTTATCCTGTCTACGCGCTACATGCCCGGCCCATGTCCATTTCTTCTTCTTGATTTCAATCAAGAAGAAGAAATGTGGATAGTATACGCTATACTAAAAGAGCTCTCAGAAGCTACGAAGTCGAATCATCGAGTGACACTTCAATGGGTCCCCAGTCACTGCGGAATTAAGGGAAATGAAATGGTGGATGAGTTGGCGAAAACCACTCATAATTCTACGCAAACGTGCCTCATCCCGGCATCTCAATATGATGTAAATAGAATTTTAAGAACAACAAAACGTGTATTATGCCTGTCTACCTGGTTCACAGACAAAACAAAGGAATCAATCCTATATTTTGTTGATTCTAATCTTGAATGCCATTTAGACCGTGACCTCCCAAGACGTATCGACACACTCATTCATCGCCTACGACTAGGAACTGCTTACACAAAGCACTTCCTACTTCGTATTCATCGTGCAACATCGTCAGCATGTTCATGCGGCCACGACGACGAGGATATATGTCACCTCTCGCTCGACTGTCCGAATTATGACACACACCGAAGGCGACTAGAACAAGAACTGCATAGGTTAGATCTTGAGCGAACATTCGGGTTGAATAAAATACTAGGTACATGGCCATCCAAAACAAACGGCAAAGCAATGAAGGTGCTGCAACAGTTCTTCGAAGAAACGAAGATTTGTGACGAATACTGAGCGGACAAAAGTTAAAAGTGAGCGTGTCGTCTACGTATTTGTTCTGCCCATATAGGAGAACTTTTTCTCTCACCCATGTAGGACTGTATATATGTATATATGTTGTTTTTTTTCATAATTTTATTTGTACCAATTAGGTGGAAAGGGGTAGCCGTCGCCAAGTATCGGTGACAAAACCTCCTTCGTTTATTTTCTATTTCAATAAAAAAAGTATAACCTAGCAACCCTTTCTTGTCAGATAGTGCTCAATGTACGTGCCAATGGCTGCTAATTGGGAATGAGAGACAGAAGAATTCTATATTCGGAAAGAGCTTCGCCCCTACAACACTGTATGCAACTTGGTGAAAAAACGCATCTAAGCGCATACAACCAATTCGAGATGGCAACATGGCGGCAACATGGCGGGTAGAGGACTGTTGAATACTATTAATAAAGTTCAACTCTCAACTTACGGGTTCAGCACAATCGCGACCGTCGCTCCTTGGGGAGTCTTGAATGCCCCGAATTCCAGGCCGTTTTCGTCTCCGCTGTCCCGCCTAGATGCCACTCGCATGCTTCCCCGTGGCAGGAACTTCCTAAAAGTGTCAAACAGAAGAATATTTCAGGATTTGAAATCAGCAGGTAAATTGGACAGCTACAGTTTGTTCGTTTTTTCCGGTGCATTGAAACCTTCATATCTTGCATGTTTTCAGAATTTTTTGTAACGATTAAGATCTCAATATTGTTTTAAAGAAGAACAGGGCAGAGAGTGAAATCTCACTTATAGGAACTAATAATGTTAATTCTCTTATTGAAACGCATCGACTATTGGTGATATATATATATATATATATATATATATATATATATATATATATATATATATATATATATATATATATATATATATATATATATATATATATATATATATATTCCACCACATTACCTCAGCAATAGTCGAATAGCAGTACTTCTTGTAATACGTAGCGAATGTATACAATTATGCTAATTATTTTTGCACTTCGTCAGCTGCACAAGTGGATCGCCAGAAAGACCACAACAGTACACGCTATGGTTCGTTCGTGTCAGGGAGAGGATAAGACGCATGACAAGAGATTGGCACAATTTGCGGCGTCACGCGCTATTTCGAGGCCTTGACAACACTTACGTGAAATGCGCCAGTGCGTAGTACATGGGCTGCTTGTAGAACTCGCGTGCATCAGCGTCCACGATGATGGGCGAATCGACAAAATTTTTCACCCAATTGGGCCCGCCCTCTTTGTCCAATGCGAGGTTCCAATCAACCCAGCCAGTCACCCAGTGTTGCAGATCCTGGGGTAGAAGTAGGTGACTTGAGGCAGCGTTGGTCGTTGTGACTTTTTAAGATGATTCAATTTGGTGGCTGACATAATTAGTCTGGTTTGTCCACCAGCATTGGTTGCGTCTAAGAAACATGATTGATATGTGATGTTTAACGTCCTAAAACCACCATATGATTATGAAAGACGTCGTAGTGGAGGGCTCCGAAAAACCTGGAGTTTTTTTAACGTGCTCCCAAATAGCGTCTAAGAAGCAATCTCCCCGAAACACTCCCCATCCTAACTGTCTGGTAGTGGAATAATGATCAGTTACCCGCGGTTTCAAGAAACCCCGTGGCATATATTGTAGATGTTTGAGGTGGTACTAATTGTTGTAACGCGAAGTTATTTACCATTCCTATTACTGCAGTGTTTTTTTTATTAATCCAGTGTACACTACCTATTTCTGGAGATATTGCTTTGACGTGCGGAGGCTTTGTCCTGAGCTGTTACTATACCTTACTAGATATAAAAAATACAGATTTGGAACAAATAGGTACGCTAAGCTTCTTGAACAATGATAGAAAAAAATTCCTGAGCCTAACACGGTTAATGTAAGTGCAAGATAAGACGCCGGTAGTTGACATGTTGAACACTAAAACCGAACATTATGTATAATTTGCGCACATATGTAATTAGTATTGGTTGAATACCAATTACTTGTTGTTATTCGCTCGCATTGTCAATATTGGTGTTTAATTGTTTGTTAGTGGAGCAGCAGAAAATTAAATTCCTGCTGAATAACTCAATGAAGTCTACTTTGGAGCCATAGGTAGTATTACTTGCACATTTTTTGTTCTTTAAAAAACGAACCTAACATACCCTATACTCTTGAACCTGCTTTATTGTTAAGCTTTGTTGTGTATTCTAGACAACTTCACTTCAGTGACAATCAACCAGATTTTTTGCAGAATCCCATGAGGCCTCTAGAATGCGTACCTCAAGAATGTCGTGCGAATAGTTTTCCGCGCGGTCCCAGCTGCCCAGCTGCACCTTCTCCTTAATCCATGGTTTGTCGCCCATGCAGGCTTCAGTGGCGAGAATGAACTTGTCTGGGAACGCGTCGTGCGTTTCGTCCAACCTGGCGGCGTCCGTAACAGAGTCCAAGTACCAGTGTACGGCAACGCCGGCGATGTACTTTGCTGCATCCTTATCTTTCAGTACCTACGGTAATAACTGTGTGACATTTTGCCGCTACGGGGAAGACGACGCACACAAGAAGAACACGAACACGGTGACACATCCAAGTGATTTTTATGGCGTGCTTTGCTCTGCCCATGTAGGAAGCAACATCAAATAAGCCAAGAAGTCTTCCTCCAAGCACATTACGGTAACCACCGTACACGATACGCAATTCTTAATCTTCTAAAGCTTGGGGATGTGACTTTATTACCTACACTGGTTATTTTTAGGCCCCAATGTCCACTTTTACAACTATCAACACGAATGAAATGGATATGTCGTACAATATTAGACGCCTACAAACATTGAAGTCTTGTATTCGATACAGTTTATATGATATGTGGGGTTTAACGTCCCAAAAACCACCATATGATTATGAGAGACACCGTAGTCACGGGCTCCGGAAATTTCGACCACCTGGGGTTCTTTAACGTGCACCCAAATCTGAGCCCACGGGCCTACAACATTTTCGCCTCCATCGGAAATGCAACCGCCGCAGCCGGGATTCGATCCCGCGACGTGCGGGTCAGCAGCCGAGTACCTTAGCCACTAGACCACCGCGGCGGGGCATCGATACAGTTCATCTATTCAAACAGTGGAATACTGTGGTTAAGAAAGTGAAAAACTGGCTCGCCTAACTGCGGTATGCAGCTTCTGCCAACAATGTGAATTTGCATAGTCCTTCTTGTGGAAAGCGATCGCGAAAGAAAAAAAAATCATTTATAAAAGGTAATGCAGAGAGAAATGAAAAAGTAATTAGAATAGGTAATGTTCAGTGTAAAACATGAAACATTTCCGGTACAGGAGCTCCTTAAAGTTTTTTTGTGAGAATGATCGTTAGTCTAAGAAATTGTAATTACTGTCAAATGCATCATGAATCTTTTTTAATTATCATTGAAATATTGTCAATATTTTCATACTTGTCACATCTGCCGTCCCACGGGAACTACGCCGAGCCTGTGAAATTTCAAAGAAAGTGGATGCGCAACACCTCGACTTCTGTCTGCCAGGTTAATCCCAGTTCAAGCGCACTTGTTCGTTGGTAAAGTATCTAAAATACTTTCCTTGATACATTTAACAGAATGTTATCAAGATATCAAAAGTGAAAAAAGCACCACGAGGAATAAAGTTTAAAGAAGGAGATAATAGCAGGAGAAATCCTTGACATTTGTCGTTTTCGGTAGATGCTCTGGCCTTTGGGTTACCATGGTAAAAAAAGTAGTAAAGGACCATGGTTTTATCAATATAGAAGTCAACCGACCTGTATATACTAGGTCAATCAGAAACTTTAATTTCAGCTCTGCCAGTTACAGAGCAGCGTTGCACTTCCTTAACGCGATAAAAAGGAGCATGCAAGTTTACATAGGGTTAGTTGCTTCTTCAAGACGTGGTTGTATGGTTTCTGGACTCTGATGATCATATCCTCGTGATATAGCGTACTCGTCTTAAACTTACACTGACAAAAACTATTCAAACGTACAGGGGGTTCAAAAGTTCCGATGCCATTATCGTTCCAGCAGGCCACTATTCAATGTGTTTCTATGAACGCGTGGCCAGGGAACTTTTGACCAGGACTGTACATGTCATATGTGGAATCATATGAGTGGGTGTATTGGCTTCCGTGTAGGCATCATATTCTGCCGCTAGGGCTACGCTTTCGAGGTCAGGGACAAAGTATAAGACGCATAGAATAATAAACCAATCCGGAATTGCGATTTTGTCACACAAGCCGGAATTTTAAATTACAATTCTTATAGTTGCCGCATGAAGACTCTTGAGTTTCCCGCTTCCTCTCACTTTGTGTAGCTTTTGGCTCCTGATGGTACCAACAGTAGTGGTATGGTAGCATATTAAATGCACAATTTGATGACCGAAGGGGAATAAAGCAGCGAAAAAAAAAGACGTTCGACCACTCACCAAGTTGGCCCATATTGGAAGAAACACCCGCATGTCGTCCAAAATCATTAGTGCGATCTTGTCCGGCCCATAGCCGGCTTTTTCCAAGGCTGGTCCTAGGTCAAACTTGATGAAGTCTCGCTGTAAAGCGGGCGTAAATCCCAAGCTCTGGAAAGGGTAGGTGGGGACGAAGCCTGCCGTGGGTTCGTTCTCGGCCGTAAGGCCCCAAAATTTGATCCCATTGCGTTCGTATTCTTGAAAGAACCTGAAATAGAAGATTCGAACTATTCGTATCAAATTGGCCCAAGCAATGCGTGAACTGTAACACGTAAAACTGTGGTTCTGGTTTGAATAATGCGGTTTGGTAGAATGATCGATCGAATAACAGTAAGGAAGCGACAATTTCTCACCAATAAGGATATCAGTATCATAGAACACCTATTTGACAGCAAAACTCTGGCTGCTGTCAAATAATATTATATTTCAAATATTTGGCTGATCCCACGTACAATGGGAATGGATGACACGCGATGCAGGAATGAGGAAGTCACATTAAAAACAGCACAACGTTACAAGGCAGATGTAAATTAGGTCATACATAACCTTCATGTCATGATTATCATGGATGCGCTTGGCATTTGCGTTTGTAGTCCATTCACGACACGTAACATCAAATTTGCTACGTGGGAAGCCAGCGAAACGGCCGTGAGCGCACTGTGAGCGTAGCATGTAGGCATGTTTCACATAACACGCATATCTTGATTATCATGTTTGGACGTGTCGTTTACCTCCATCATTTATTCACGTCACGTAATACCAAATTTGGTATACGCGAAGGTTGCGAAACGGCTGTGAGCGCATAATGAGCGTGGTATATGGTCATGTCCATACATGACACTCATGTTATGTTTATCATGTTTGCACCAGTCATATACCTTCGTCATCCTTTCACGTCCCGTAACACCAAATTTAGCATATGTGAACCTAGCGAAACGTCCTCGAGTGCACTACGAGCGTAGTATGTAGTCATGTGTGACATAACACGCAAAGCATGATTATCATGTTTGGACGTGTAATTTACCTTCGTCATCCGTTCGCGTAAAGTAATACCGAGTTTGGTATATTTAAGCTAGAGCAATGACCACGAGTGCATTATGAGCGTGGTATGTAGTCATTTTCTAACTTGACACGCGTCTCATGATTTCCACGTTAGGGCCTGTCACTTATGTTTGCCATGCAGTCAAATCATACCATGCCAGTTTTGCAGTATGTCATGTGAACAAAACCCTCGCAAGAGCAGAAAGTCCACGTAAAGTAAGTCATGACATTCATTACATACACGTCATAATTTTCATGTTATGACTAGTCACTTAAGCTCATCATGCAGTCATGTTATGCCATACCAATTTTGATATAGATCCCATTATCGATACAGCCAGGATAGGTTAATGTCATAGGTGGCTAGATAGATAGTTATATAGACAGATACGCTCAAGGTCACCAAAGTTCACTAGAAGCTTCGCAGTGCAAAGCTTCGCTTGGTGGGCGGAAACATTAAAACCACTATAAAGTTGCGCTTGCAAAGAACTGTCTAATTGCAGTTCATGCCAGGCTAAGGGGTGATCACGCAGGGGCACCCAGATGTAAAGCGGCTAGTAGATAGATAGATAGATAGATGATAGATAGATAGATAGATAGATAGATAGATAGATAGATAGATAGATAGATAGATAGATAGATAGATAGATAGATGATAGATAGATAGATAGAGAGCGAGATAGATAGTAATAGATAGTATAGATAGATAGACAGACAGACGACAGACAGACAGACAGACCAGACAGACAGACAGACAGACAGACAGACAGACAGACAGACAGACAGACAGATAGATAGATAGATAGATAGATAGATAGATAGATAGACAGACAGACAGACAGACAAGACAGACAGACAGAACAGACAGACAGACAGACAGACAGACAGACGGACGGACGGACGGACGGACGGACGGACGGACGGGCGGGCGGGCGGGCGGGCGGGCGGATGGATGGATGGATGGATGGATGGATGGATGGATGGATGGATGGATGGATGGATGGATGGATACGGCCAAAGTCACTGAAGTTCGCTAAAATATGCTTCGCCTCTAAATAATTTTCAGCGCCCGTAACACACCGCTGTAGCTAATGCTTGGTATATACGGGAGGTCACTAACACGTTATTGAAAAAAAAATCGCAGTTTCCTCACAAGGGTAAAGCGATCAATGCAATAGCATCAAATTTTAATGTTATACGAAGCAAGACCAGCAGCTAACTCATTTAGATCTTGTTTCATGTAGCTCTATGAAACACTGGGGTACCAGAATACTGCCGCTCGAGGGAGAAAAATGGATTTTGCAGAGTCTCCTAGCGTTCAGAGCGCAGCACGTAGAATCGTATATGAGCTATCCGCTGAAGCCTGCCGAGATCGGGCGCGCGCCACTGTTCACGACCACACCCTTTTGTCCAAACTTCGCAGGTGCTTCTCGAATGACATCCCGACTACCGTCCTTTCATGACGGGAGGGGCGTTCCCTATCTTATTTCGGAGCATTCGGCAGCAAGCCTCTGACGTGGAGTGGCGTTATCACATTTGCCTCCAGAGCGACGGACACCGGCAGTGCATTTGATATCTGCTTGAGCTGCGTTTGTCGCCTTCGCTTCGCGGGTAGAACATACGGTGCGCGGAGGGATGCTATGAATCTGGACTAACACTGAACATGAAGGCGATGGAAAAACTACTGAAAGTGTCTATTTAATAATAGCTATCAATGGAAGAAAATAACATATGTTTTTTCTGTTCACACTACTGTGCGCAAATGTGCAAGTTATGAGATTAAAATTACGGTAAAATTACTGCGAAGATTGCAGAAAGAGCAGAAGTATGGCTGCATACTTCTCGTATCGCATGCGTTAAAGAGTCTTCAGCGTGATTAGAGTGATTGCCGCAAACGTAATCAGTTTAATTTTAGAAACAAATATTTTTTTTGTAAATATTCTGTACATGGCTGCAGCAGACTGTCATAAAAAGGAGACAATAATGTTCGTGTTCCAACTGCTCATTATTTCTCACAACACAAAAGGCCTTCTCACAGCTAGCCGCTTCTTTTATCCGTGGTAATTCATCTTGCCCAATAGTGGAAGAAAAGCGTGATGTAAAATGACCATAAAAGCGAAAGAAAAAGCTCGGGGCAGTAAAAGAAATATGTGGCTTCGCTTGCTATGAGCTGTGCCCATCGTGGCTACTGCGTGGACAGAAATAATGCACGTGAGAAGTGCTTGTCTATAATACACCCGAAATACACCCGAACTTTGTCTACGGAAGATGTACCTATGTATAGCTAGTGCCATGAGTCTCGTTAACAGTTCACCTGAAAGACGTTACGCTGAATAAAGTCGCAGCTGTGTACCTGACAAAGTAGTTCGCCCACGTCTTGTAATATGGTCCACCTGGATGTCCGATAAGAAAGCCGCCGTGATAAAGCTTCCCATTTGTCTTCATCCACGCTGGTGCGCTCCATGGGCTGGCGAACATCCATATGGCATTCTTGGACACGTTTAACGCTCGCTTGATTAAAGGAATCTGGGCGAAACGAAACGTGAACAAACTCAGCTACCCAGAAATGTTTAGAAGTCTAGAAATCATGCATTCTATAAGAAGTGCTTGTTGGTGTTTCTTTATAAATAAATTACCAAGAACAGTCAAGGTTTACTTTCAGAGTGCGAACCCAGGCACTGTTAGATGACGAAAGCAAGCGGGCTTCATCATAATGCTTTGTAAACAGACTAAGCCTACACCCCAACATTTTGCACAACGTTAGCCACATGCGCTGGACCGGAGTTCTGCTAAGACTAATCAAGTCTACGGAAAATGTTGCCAATGTTTGATGTGACCATGCTTGTATGTTTACCAAAACCTGTATGCTGGAAAGGGTCCAATGAACATGAGAACATAATCTAAGTAACTTCGCATGCAGCTATCGATCACGCTTCATACAGAGAAGAGCGTGAAATCATGGTTCCTTTCCTTAGCAGGCCATGCACCAATCAACGCAGCTGTGCAAGCGCAATTTCACAAAGGGACGTTCTCGTATATAACAAAGCCATGAGCCTCACAGTAAGTGCACGACTTTGGCGGGCTCTCGCAACGCAGGGTCACAATTTCCTACATAGCGATGGAACGAACCTTCAGCTCGTAGTCTTCAGTCGCAAGAGAAAAGTTCGCCAGGGCAAAATCACCCGGTGAGTCCGCGTACGTGTACTGTCGCACTGAAAAATCGCAGCTTGCCATTGGCACACGGCCAATATTGTAAGACAGTCCTGCAAAATGCAATAACAACGTTAGTAGAGAAACGAGTCAACTGTGATGTTCAGCTGCGAGATCGACGAAGAATTCGTAGATACCTTCGTCGGTGTAGTACGACCGTATGATGTCTTCCTGCATGTTCTTAGGCAGCGACTTGATGTTGATGCCAGCGGCGTCGGTGAAGGCTCCGCCGAAGCCGTAAATTTTCTGGTAGGTTTTGGACGTGTCGATGACTATGGTTACGGTGTCATCGTGACTTTGCGATTCGTCTAAAATTGTTAAGGAAAGGAACAGTTGCTGAATCTCTAATAACTCACAATACGCCAGCACGCCCCGCCTCTTTAATTACCGCATAAATGCACTTACCTAATCAAGAAGACATGATGCACACGGAATAGAGAAACGTTATTTAAGGTTGGTAAGCTAGTTGGTTGTTTGAAAAAATTTATTGGGGTCCTGCAACGCGCAAGTTAGTGCGCAGCGTGCTACCAAGTTGTGCTCCTTGCCTAATGAATGGAAATGAAAAACTGGTTTTCTGTGAAGCCTACGGACAAGTTTTCATTGAAATTGTTGCATTAAAAAAGGTAAAATGTAGGTGTTAGGGAAATACATTATTTATATACATGTGGTGAATGCTGCGATAAAATTTCTTCGAAATTCAAGGGTTTATATAAAGAGCAACAAAATTATCAACTCTTCAACTGTAAGTGGGGAAACACAACGGAATTTTCCTATTCGCACAAAGTATTGCACTTAAAACCAGACAAAGCTGTCGGATTGTTCCCCACTCTCAATATATAGAGATCATGCGATATATTTACTAGTAGTGGACAGTTTATTTTAAAGACGATAGTCTTTCTTGGGGACCTACAACGCAAGAAATTTTGGTCTGTCTGTCTGTCTGTCTGTCTGTCTGTCTGTCTGTCTGTCTGTCTGTCTGTCTGTCTGTCTGTCTGTCTGTCTGTCTGTCTGTCTGTCTGTCTGTACATTTGTCTGTTTGTTTACCCTAAACGGCACCTTAGTGACCAAACGATACTCCAAATGGTCGACCCCATCCGCAGCGCCCACCAATATTGCTCAAGGTTCAGCGTTCACACTTATGCGATTGTCAATTAAAGAGCAATTATTGCGAATATCTGAGGCACCATAACAACACGTCAATATATGTATGTGTATTTTTACTAGTAAAGGCATAATTAATTTTAAGGATCGTAGCATTTATAACGCTGTGCTGACCATGCAACGCTTGCACGGAACGGGGAGTGTTTCCCACACTTTGCTAAGACGACACGGTGGTGGCATCTACCCGTCGCCTTGCGTTCTACACCTTATCACATCAGAGACGGGCGCGCACGGCGCGCACCCCGTTTTCCAGGATAACTGCCAGATAGCGCTCATGTCCCACGTGGGACGTGACTTCATGCGCTCGTTCGCCTCCGCTGCAAGCTCGAGACACTCTAACTCAGCGCCTCCAGAATACCATTCACCGATTTTCTTGCGCAGAACATCAAACGTTTTGTTCACTCTCTCCAGAAGCAAGACTATTGTTTTTCGACAACATTTGCGGTGTAACACGCAGATACGGGGCCAATTTTTATGGAGATTCACAACAACCGCGTTTCCATATTCAGGAAATACATCGAAAAGATAGAAGACTACCGTGCTCTTATAGACTTAGTTGAACGTTAAGGAAAACCAGATGGTGCAAAATAATCTAGAGTCACTTCGACGGCGTTCGTTATAAGTATACCATAGCTCTGGCACGCAACATACCAGAATTGAAATTAGGTATTCAAATATCCTTGAAAGCTCCTTGAAGGAGCTATCACCTATAGAGTTTTCACATAATGTTTCAATTATCATCAGTTAGCAAATAGGAAAACCTTTGAAAATGTTATTTTTTCGATTCGGACGATCGCGGATTTGCTGTTTACTGATAATATACCAACGCTCTCCATGATTACACTGACTTAAGGGCCTGATATGTCATTGTTATTAAAGGCAGAAACAATGTATTGATACCTGATTGCTCGTTGAAGGTGCCGGTCGTCTTGGAAAACCTGAGCCCTGCCTTGTTGCTCTCGAAAACAAGGATCTGCCCCTGAGGGACCTGGCTCACTTCCCCGAGGTAGTCGCAGTATGTGGCGTTGCACACGCATACCACGCTGCCTTTGCCGTAGTCTCTGGGCTGGCATTGTGATGACGTGCCTAGGCGGTAAACGTATGAGGACAAGATTCAGCAACTGTGCGTGAGCTATTACTTGCAAATATAGCAGTTCACGAAAGGAAAACAAAGAAAAAAAATGTGTCAATGTCACTGCAGCTTTGCAACCCTCAGTGACGCGCATTCGAATATCGACTGCCAAAAAAATTGGTCGATTTTTTCTCTAAGTAGAACCCTCCCTCATTTTCTCACTCACTCTTTCTTCTCACACACACCAAGTTATTTCTACAATCAGCCAATGAAGCACTCGCTTGCAACCCATTGTGGTTCACATCTTAAAAGACCTGCTGGTTTCGATTCGTACGTGACTAGCAGCCTTGTGAGAGAAATAGGGAGCGGGGATAGATATACGTATGTAGTGCTGGCACAACCACGACAAAGTCACACGTAAAACATAAGCTATTGCATAGAGATCTGGGGTTGGACATACAAAAATCATTTGTCGCCATTGTTCACGCTTCAAAAGGGCACTCTCTGCATCCTCGTACCTAACACGGCGCACATTAAGAGCAAAGACTAATTTAAATATCTCAACATTTCTCAATATTTACGACATACAACAATGCCTCACTCATGCCTCAAATAATCAATGAAAAAAACACCGGACCTGCGCGGTAGGCACTGCACAGTCACAGCGAAGGCCAGAAGAGCGGCCTTTTAGAGCCTTTTCAAAACACTCATTGGGTAACTACTTCAAGCACACTTTGTTGGTGCCCACTAGAGCATTAATAATAAACTTTCGGGTAGTATATGCTGGTATTTGCTATTCTATTTTTCGTCATTCTTCTGAGAAGGGTGGTATCCGCTAAACACTTGCAAGGACTATTGTGCCAATCGTTCATGCAGTGGCTGACGACGATGAGGAGTTATGGCTGAAGTGGGTATGCGTCACAGCTAAAGAACTGGAGGACCCTTAAGCTTTGCCTTTAATAGTTGAATGCGATAGTGAAATCCGGCCCCTAGTGCACCCTTCAACCACTAAGTGCATACTGATTCATATGTTTTGTTACATACACACGCACACACACAAACACGCACATAGTAGATTGGACCAGCGCGCTATTATCGCCGTACGGACTAGTTTTCACTATGACCCCTGTCGAACAAAATGCGTTAAAGGCGCCCTGAAACACTTTTTCGAGTAACCATGGAATTAATTCACTATAAGAGTTTATTGCCTCAAGAATTCAACGTGACAAAAATTTTAAGAATCTGTCCAGTGCGAGTGGAGTTATAAAGGCTTGTCGCGTGCTGCAATTGCATTATCTCTTCTCTCGTCCCGACAATAGCGCTGGAAGCTAAGCAGGGAGGGGTGGCCGAGCAAAGAAACTACCACGCCTCGTGACCTTGAGCGCTTTCCTTTTCTTCGAATGCGCGGCTTTCTCAGTGTGATCGCGCGTGCACGCGTGCTCAAGTAGCGGCATCCCGTGGCTATCTAGGTAACTTGATTTTTCGGTCACAGGCGCACAAACATTTCGCTCACACCCAACGGGGCGGACGCCGGTGGCGGGTTTTCTGCAACACGAGCTCTTTAACGCTATCGCATTAATAAAGGAACGAGAACAAGTTTTTGTGATGGTTTGTAGCACTGGTCGGCCCGCTCGTCCAGTGCTAAACGCTTTATAAGTCGTATTAACGAGATTGCTTTCCCGACATCAAGCCTGCCTAAAGCAATTTTGGCAACAAGCCTCAAGCATCGGTCACGCATGGATTACAAAATGCTGAGCCCCAAGCGCGATCGGTTAAGGCCCATTTCATTGAACGGGTAACGAAGCTAAGTGAAGTGCTGGAACACCGAGGGGCAAGCAAACAAATGCTTAGTTTAATAGACACGTTGAAAGCGTTAAAGGTGCATAAGTGAATGCAGCCAGCCTTACGCACGCTGTTGGGTGATGTGTGGCATATGTATATATGATAAGATGTATTGAAACTGTAATAAAGAAAAAAAGCATCGGTGTAGCTCAGTGATAGAATTATGGGCTGGTACGCAGCTGACCCGGCTTTAAGCCCTACTGTGTCATTGGAGCAAAATTTTTCTTTTTGCTAGTTTCGCGCAACGTGGTTACGGACAACGGCGGCGGCGATGGTGGTGGAAAACTGCGCGTGACCCGAAAAGTGATCTCATAAGAGCTTTCGCTGTAAAACTCGTGATAACAACAGTCTCGCTTCATCACTCACCTCGTACTGCTACGAATGTACCGCATCGTCGTTTTTATCGTGCCAAATATAGCTACTAATTACGGTCGTTCTACACTACAGTTTAAAGGTATATCTTTTTGAAATAAGCTTGATTGCAACCTAACCTGTAAAACACAGTTGAATACATTTCTTTAAATGTTAAAGCACTCCCTTATTGATAATGTATAGCAAACTTGCTCACATTTCTCTTCTACGTTTCCTTCTTTCTCATTTAGGGTGCGTTTTTTTTATAAGGTATTGTTGGAAAATTTTCTAATTTGTTGACATATTCTCATGTGCTTTACATGTTTGTTCTGCATATTTTAGACACTTCTGTGTCGTTTTGATCTTATTACAATGTTTATATTAACAGCTACTATAGATGTTTTTACAACATATCTTCAGTATATATAGGGACCCTTCGACAAATCTGCTGGCTCCCAAAAGTGTGTTTCTTGTAATCAATACATGCCTTATGTCGAAAAAAGCTTTAAAACTTGGTGTACCATTTGTGGCATGTCAACAGATGCAACACGCACATTGTTATATCTATTGCACGTAAAAAAAAAAGAAACCGAAAGGGAAAATCACTATCCAAGCACGCCATACAGATGGTTCACCGGCGAAGATGAAATATGCGGCTGAAAAGTTTATCACAATCTTGGATCAATTATGGTGTATTCTGTTGTAGCTTCTCATTTATAAGTCAATACAATTAGGAGATGCGTGCTTCAAACTTTGTGTTTGAGGACGTTAACTCAAGTACATTAAAGAAGTCGAAGAGGATTTGTGGTTAGCTATATTCGTGGTCCGGAAGGTATCATGCTTATGCATATGCGCAAACAAACCTGATTCATTGATTGATATGTGAAGTTTAACGTTCCAAAACCACCATATGATTATGAGAGACGCCGTTGTGAAGGGCTCCGGAAATTTCGACCGCCTGGGGTTCTTTAACGTGCAGCCAAATTTGAGCACGCGGGCCTATAACATTTCCGCCTTCATGGGAAATGCAGCCTCCGCAACCTGGGATTCGATCAGCAGCCTGTGGATCAGCAGCCGAGTACCTTAGCAACTAGACCACCGCGGTGGGTCGCAAAGGAACCTGAGTAAAAACTAGTGTGAGGGAAGAGGCTCTTGAAGGTACAATAGGATAGCAGTGTTTTTTAAATAAATAATTTTTGTGCAGTCACCGACTCATGGACCACTAAATTTCAACACGTTCTATCCATTTACAGTGTCACTGTAAAACTGTTGGTTTAAGGATGAAAAAAAAACTGCGCAAGCAGCTCTTTTAATTCAATTAGGCAATAGAGCGGAGTTTGCTGCTTACCCGCATCATACAGGCAGGTTTTTTTTTTTTATAACCGTGCACCTGCTTTGAAGAATTTTTGTCTGCTTGGTATACATACGCAAGGATCATTTGCGTTAAACTTCTTTTTAATGATGCTGGTTGCCATATTATGTGACGCTTTGCCTTAAAATCGGGAGTTGCAGACACGTTATCGTGTACTGCGGGTGTTCTGGGAAAACACCAGCAAAAACAATCAGAGGAACAAAATAATAGGTAAAAGAGCAAATTTCATGCAATGTGACTACTCCCGCCACAGGTTCACGCTAACAGTGTCGAATCAGTGTGCACTTTTTTTTGGTAGGCGCGTGTTTTTTTTTCTGTTATATAGATGTACGCCATTAGTCAGCGAAATTAACTGGACTTTAAGCCGTTCACGTTTAAGCTTCCAATAACCAAACAATCCAGAAGCAGTTGTAAGCTTAACGACACACAAACACTCCCTTGGCATTTGTCCGTAGAGCGCGTGAGCATTGATAAGCAGTTGAATGTTGATACTGAATACCGAACACAAAGCATGGTTTAAAGCATACAAACACCACTCCGTCATTCATCCAAATTGTTTTTTTTATGTTCCTTTAACTTGCAAAGTAGTTGGGAGCGTACATCTAATGTATTTTCCTTCAAAACGAAGAACTCACCTTCAACATAGGAGAAGAAGACGATGAAAGCGACGAGTTTCACAGACATCCTTGTAGTGAGGCCGCAGGTTATTTGAATAATTATCTCAATATGACAGCCATTGGCCGCCTCCGCACTTTTTCGCGACAAAAGTTATACAAGCGCTTCAGCTGTGGTCCCGGGATATGGCTTTACTGATACGCCTTCCACTCAGGCAGACGCCCGGGGAGGTTCGATTAGATATACCCAGTTTGTTGAGGCAAGGCTGACACGAGTTGTATAGATTGTGTCTGTCGACAGATCACGATAACACAAACGCGCGCAATGATGAACTTGAAGCCGGCTCGAGTACGCGTCCATCCCGTATAGGAATTCACTGCGAGCACACTGGGGCATTGTCTAGTAGAATTATTGACAACGAATAACTATGTAAAGCTGAGCACGTTATCAATTTATCACATACAGTACCGGATATCAAGAGCGTATATAAGAAGCTCATGGGATCTTTTCCTCTGTGATTAAGTATTGCCGACGACATCACGTTTTCCAGGCACGAGCAAGCCGACAAAAACTCAAACCGCAAAGTAACCATTGCTCGCTGCTACCGATTCTGTGTAACAAAACAATAGAGAAGTATAGCTGACTTAATTGTTGGGGTAAAAAGCATCTGGTTCAGGCTTGCCGTAAATAAACCCTGGTTCTAAATATTAGGCAGCAGACAAATCTAGCCTTATATATCTATATATATATGTATATATATATATATATATATATATATATATATATATATATATATATATATATATATATATATATATATATATATATATATATATATATATATATATATATATATATATGCTGAAAGAAAACTAACATCTGTGAGCTTACCAATGGCTGTTTCAAACTATCCCAGAACGCCTACTGCAAGCTTAGTTGCGCAGTGCCCATTACGCCATAATTATTTTTTTTACGAATCGGCAAAGGGCGTGCAAGCAATACCAGTGAACCCTACGCAGCTGCTCACTTTGTTGACGCCTGCACTGATGATGGTGGTGATGATGATGATGAATAAATATGTGTCAGCGCTTTGTCATGTGTTGGCCTTCAAAAAAAAAAACACCAATTGCGAAATCGACACGTTTTTACCCCTGGCGCGATCCTATACGCTTCTGGCACGCAATATTATACTCGTTAAGGAGACTCCTCCTAACAAATGGCATTCACATAGCTTTCATTTCCGAAGCAGTGTCAGTCAATGCCATTGTTCTGTGGTATAGAACAAGTACTTGCCCCCAGTGAGCTTTGGTTCGACTCTTACTCGAACCACGCATTTTTACAGCGAAGATCCGAACACGGGTCGCACGCAGTGCCGTAGTTGTCCGCCGCCATCACCACCGGTGTCCGTAACAGGTATCGAACAAAAAAAACTCAGTAAATAAAAAAACGCCAATGACACAATACGATTTGATCCCGTGTCTGCTGCGCGCTAGCCAAGTATTACACCACTGAGCAACGCCAGTGCTTGGAACACATTTCTAAACTGGCCTTATATAGGCAGGCTTGATGTCGGGAAATACGGGAAATAGGAATCGCAATATTATGACTAATAAAGCGTTTTAAAGCATCAAAGGACAAACGAGGTGTCACACATTGCGAAATGCGTAACGAGTGGGTCGTTCAATGTTCCAACACATTACAAAACTTGTTATTTATCACCAAATAATTGTGGTGCATACCCACTTCAGGCATAATTCTTCATCGTCGTCAAGCACTGCATAAAATATTTGCACAAACCTCCTAACAAGTGTGTAGCGGACACTATGTTTTTCCAAAAAATTACGAAGGATAGCATAGTGGATGCTGGCCTACTACAGAAAATTATTTTTAAGGCATAGTGGGTACTTGGCAGTGTGCTTGTAACAGTTACCTAAATGGTGTTTAAAAATGCTCTGAAAGGCTGCTCTTCTAGCTTTCGCTGTGACTGTCCTACGCGTTCTGCGCAGGCCTGGCGTTTTTTTTATATTAATTTCTATACTTCTCGATTGTTCGCTGACGGACAGCGCTTAGTTTTGGCTCGCAACCGATGACGCCAACACTGAAACTAATTAGACTCGAGCTATTTTACCTTACCGAGTTCAAACAGCTAGTATTCCCACTCAGGCACCTTCTATCAAATTTCTTTTTGTCGTGTGTCTGTGGTGTTCTCTTTTTTTCTTCATTTTAAGGGAGGCGTGATGCTATTTGCAAGGCAGTACAAGTTGTTCGTTCGAAGGTGGAGCGTGTGTGTTGCATTCTTGTGAAGGGACATTGCACACTGTACGCTACATGCCGAAACTTCAGCTGGCCCAGATTTCGCTATGTTTATTGCATACTGAAGATTTTCCTCAGCTTACTGAGGTAAAACAGACATGAAATGGATTCAATAAAGGAGATTATTGCCTTCAAGGAAGTGTTGCGAAAAGGTGATACAAATCCTCTCAAGCAATGGTGTTGAGTAGAGACATGTAATCGACTGTCTGCAGAGGAAGCTCTAGCCTGCTGTACAGTCATCGTGAGCCTACAGGCATTCGTGTTTGCATAAGAGCAATCTTTGAGAGACGTTCAAACATGCGCTGGGCCCTGGATAGTCAACAAACATGGTGAATGTGACAGGGCTGTTAGTGTTCTTGTTAACTCCTTACATCTCTCACAATTTCAAAACCGATGGTCTTTCTTGGAGACCTTCGACGCCAAAATTTTTATCTGTCCGTCTGTCTGTCTATATATTTGTCTGTTTGTCTACCCTTAATGGTATTGGGTACTCTGAACAGCACCAGCCGATACCCCAAACGGCCGACCTCATCCACAGCACCCACAAATGTTGCTCAAGATTTAGCGTTCATACTTGTGCGATTGTCCATTAAAAGCAATTATTGCGCATATGTGAGGCACCGTAACAACACGTATATATTCTGTATGTGCGTATTTTACTAGAAAAGGCATACATAAGTAATTTTAAGGACTATAGCATTTATCACGCTGCGATGACCATGCAACGCTTGCACGAAAAGGCGAGTGTTTTCAACGCTTTGCTAGGACGACATGGTGGTGGCACCTACCCGTCGCATTGCGTTCTACACCTTATCTCCCCTAAAACGGGCAAGGCTCTGAGACGGGTGCGCACGCCCGTCTCAGAGCCTTGCGCTTTGTTTTCCCAGAAAACTGCCAGATAGGGCTCATGTCTCACGTGTGACGTGACTTGATGGGCTCGTTCGCTTCCGCTGCACGCTCGAGGCACTCTAACGCAGCGCCTCGAGAATACCATTCACCGATTTTCTTGCGCAGTACATCAAATAAATGTTTCGTTCGCTCTCTCCACATGCAAGACTATTGCCTTTGAACGACATTTGCAGATTAACAAGCAGATACCGGGCCAATTTTTTTCTCTTAGTGTTCTTGGTAGGCGAGGGTGGTGCCCTCGTTTGGGAGCGGGGAAGTGAAGTGCTGCATAATGAGTCTGTAATAAGCGCCAGCAAGGAACGCTTCGCTATTTTGAGTTCTAGGAAGGGTTCCGGTGCAATGTTGGGGTAGTGACTTTGCCGAACGCGCATATACATTGTGCAAGCTCTCGTACCTGTATACCATTGTTCACGGGTAGGGAACAATTCACTGGCTGTGACAATGCTCAACTCGTGAAGCAAGTAAACAAGTAATGCCGCAAATATTTCTACAAACCGTGTTCACAGCTAGAACACATCTCATAAAACCCCAATACCATGAGACCTTCCAACATGTTCTGCGTCTGTTGCTCACACTCTCATGCAGTATAGGCTCACGAATAAATTTTCATTGTGTAGCAATGTGATGTAACAATCGCCACAGACTTTTCACGGTCCACAGAAGGGAGATAGCTCATGTAGCTACAAGGCAGAAGGATGTTGGGATAGCTATAAGTATCCGCTAGTTGCGCACCAATTGTCGGTGCTAAGAAAGCATTTTGGAAATATCGGTAAGTTGACTTGCAGATTTCTAGCTAGCCCGCATTCGTTGTAGCAATGTGAACGTCTGATATTCCGAAGGTGCTGATTGACTAATGTACATCGGTGCATTGTTATGCGCGGTGATTTGTGTTTGCCAAAGCTCAGCATGTACGGCATTAACTTTGTAAAACATTTGCTTCGTACTGTTACTGTAACTAACGTTTGTACACCTCGTAATTTCCGTCCTGCTGCAACCGCCTTGTGAGAAGTACAGCACACATCAGGACAGCACAGAAAAACCGAACGAAATTCTATTTGCTGTTACTCAAAAAAAATGCATCTTTTTTAAGCATAAGTAAAAATCAATTACGCAATACATCGCTTGCATGACCATGTCCTGGTTCTTAGCATAACATGCATAAGCTCTAGAGATAGTCAACGCAACTTTACTGCATGTGGACATGTATTACAAAACCAGAGCACCTGCTTGAAGCCGGTTGGCCTGGACACAGTCCCCCTTTCGCAGAAAAATAAGTAATGTTTTTTTTCTTTGGTGGATTTGCAAAGTTATCTTTATATGACATTGTTTCCCAGTGCATTGTTTGTGTGACTGGGTTCTTTTAGGCGTGCTTTATGCCTTTCTTCTTTCCTTCATGCTATAAAAAGAAGCATTTTCTTTTGCACGACCTGAAACATTGTGCGTGGTGGCTGGAATATAATATTTTATATCATGCGTCTGGACTACGTTTTCGCGTAGTAGTTGAAATGCGAACGATGTATCTGTTTCTGTTTGTTGGCCAGATTATATATTAGTAGGGTCCTTGATCTGATTATATAATAGTAAACTTTGTCATCTTGCTAAAACAAAATACTAGAGAGCGTCGTTTAAAAACAAACGTAATAATCAATATTTTAATTGTGAACTGTTTATGAACGCATTACCAGCAGCCACTGGTATCCTGGAATGCAGAAACCAGCCTTCACATTTGGCCCTGGCATTTTTAAAACTTTTTTTCATTATCAAGTACTGTATCAATCAATCAAAACGAAATCGATGAGTTTTTCTTCGTTACAAGTACACCTTTTTTTGTCCT